CGCCGAGTCTAAGCGCAATTGAGAATCTGTAAGGAAAGTCTCATCAGATATACAGTACCAACCACTGTAAGCGGCAGAGTAAATATGACCACGTGTATGCAGGGTGCGCTGGAATTGAAAGTCGTTGATTATTTATCTAGATTAATACTTAAAATACACACCCAAAAATGGGACACCGCCTGCTTATGCCGTTCTTCCGTTGTGCGTATAAAGTCTGTGTTGTTTATACCAGCTTCGCGGAATAAATACCTGTAACGTTCTGAAATATCGTCACAATATTGTGCAACTGGCACGCCTTGCGTTGCTGCAGCTTGTTGGATTTTTGTGCCATGCTCATCAGTGCCAGTACAAAGTTGAACTGATTGTTGAGGGTGCCTCAAACGTTGGTAGCGGCACATAGCATCTGTTATCACAGCAGAATAGAGATGTCCAATGTGGGGCGCTAGTGATTCAAAATAATAATAATAAATATACTTCCGTTTAGAATTTTTCGATATACTAACCAGCATTAACATAGAAGATAGGCGTTGTTGCATAAAAATCTTGGCCAACTTGCGCGCAATAACGGCGCACGGTATTTAATTTATTAATAAACATTATTTTATGTTGAAATCGCTACATTTAATTCAGTAAATTTCACTATTGCTATAAGTTGGGTAATCAAAAATGCGCCGGTCCTTAATTTACCAGCCGCAAAACAGCTGCTTTATATTTATTTAGTCATGACACAAACCGAATAACAACGCAGAGTTGTATTTTTGAACACTAAACGGTAAAGTTACAGACGTCAGTGGCGTTTTCATTGAATATAATGAAAATTCAAATATCGAGGCTATATTCGTTTTTAAATGAGGCAGAAAATATCATGGTACAAGGGAAATCTACCGTGGAAAATATACATATGTATATAAGAAAGTTGTGAGGAGCTACGTTATGCCAAAGCAAATACACATTGTTTTAGAGTTTTCTCTTAACCAGAAACAAAATATTTTTTGCAGCCAAATCTAGCAAAAGTAGAATATTTTTCGAATTATTTTGATAACCAGACCATATTATAATAAGCTCTAAGGGATCGCTAATCATTGACAACGGCGAATACCGCAATCGATGGAAGTCTGAGCTGTACAAAATTTACGAAGACATAGACTTACTTTAGGTCATGTTGTCCTATTGGAAGAGAACACTCTAGCTTAGAAGGTTTTAATCAGTACCCACCGGTGGAAGCAGAGGAGGACCTCCACTTTGTAGGAGAGATCAGATATCTCGAATTCTACACTAATAAAGAAAGAAAGAAATGCTCGCTAACATCTCAGTTGTCAAAACATATAAAATTTATATACCTTGTGAAGGGTATATGAAGTTTGTAAGACCTAGAAGAGAACGTACTGTGTATAAATGTCACGCCACGCTGTGAAGACTAGATTTAGTGATGTCCGTTTGTCCATCTGAGATATCAATCTGAAATCTTTGTGGTACCTGGAACAAAACTTTACACTCTTCTTTGGGGACAACGAAAATCTATAATTGAAGCATAGGTAGAATAACTAAACCGAGCAGAAAAAATCTATAAACGAGTGATATGAGTAAGATATAACGGGTTCTATATTTTACATTTTGTAGCTTTAAGCATGGTACTATAAAAAATTGTTTTGGATCTTTTAAATCAAAAATGTTAATGAAGAATTGTTTGATAGAGGGACCGAAGATCTAAATGAAGTACATACAGACAAATGTGGACAGAATGCGAATCAAATTGCCGAATTAAAAAATTCGTTAATCATGACGTTACTGGATTCCAAAACTTTGGAAGGTAATTTTGAAAATTATTTTATAAAACAGAATGTAGGAAAGTAGCCACAAAGTTGATCAAAGAAATGTTGAAAACTCAAGCGTACAGAAATATTACGAATGTACATATGTATTTACAAACACGAGTATATTGTAAGTATGTTACATCTCATAATAATAATTAAATATGTAAATTAAATTAAAAAGAAATCTAATTTCTTTAAGAAGTGTTTGTATATATTTTGGTAAAATTTTTATTCGTCCACTCCTATTAGCGGACACCCCCCATAAGCGGACACAAATTGTTGAAACCGTCAGTGTCCGATTGTTGAAGATTTCACCGTACTTGGAAGATAACACAATAAAATTAAGTGAAGTGATCTTCCTATTAAGTCATTCGGTAATAGAAATTACGATAAGTAAACACCCAAACTAATAATGTAATTAATATAATTTTTTTTTAGTTATATTGATTTTATTACATACATTTTTATACCCTGAACAGGGTATATTAACACCCAGAAGGAAGCGTCGGAGACCTGTAAAGTATATATATATATATGTATATAAATGATCAGTATGTTGAGCTGAGTCGATTTAGCCATGTCCGTCCGGTATATATACGAGCTATTCCCTCCGTTTATAAGATATCGTTTTGGAAATTTGCCAACGTCATTTTCTCTCATTTGTCGGAATCGCCTTTATTGGACCACTATAACATATAGCTGCCATACAAACCGAACGATAGGAATCAAGGGCCTGTATGGAAAACTTTGGCATTTGACGTGGTATCTTCACGAAATTTGACATGGATTACTGCTTAAAGTAATAATGTAATCTTCAAAAATATTGTTCAGATCGGATTCCTCTAGCATATAGCTTCCATACAAACTAAACACATAGTTACTAAAAGAAATGGCCCTGTGAAGGGTATATTAGCTCCGGTGCAGCCGAAGTTAACCTGTTTTCTTGTTGTTCTCTCTGAATATGCCGCACATAGGAAAGTATACAAGTATGTACTATATAATCACATATCTCAGAAAGTACTCCACCAAATTCAACTTAACTGCGTGATATAACATTATCTCGATATCCTTATGTTACTGTTTGTATCGTAATCGTAATACAACTACTCTTACTTCTCATGTAAATCGTAAATTCAATCGGATTATAGTGAACTTCTCTAAAACAGACACACACCGTTGCAGTGTTTTTATCCGAGTAAAGAGTCTGTCTGAGAACTATAGATTATACAAAATTCTTTCATATATTTTTTGAAATATTACCAAATAGTGTCCGGTCATTGAAACGTTCTCATGTCCGTTTATAGGAATTAGTTTTAATTGAAAATATTAATGAAAATGTTGGGTTCATGAAATAAATTTGTCCACTTGAGGGACTTGGCTGGTTATAGGGACTGTCCGTACTGTGAAAACTCACTGTATTTAATTTACATTATTTAAATGAAGGAACAATAAAGAAGTCGGAGCAAATATATGAAACAGAAAAGACTTCAAGGCATGACACAAACATTTAAAATTGTCTTTTAAAACCGACAGTTTTAAGATATACATAACTTCAGATTAATGGGTAGCGACATACATGTTGGTCTTCTTTATGCTGTTTCAATGTTCTAAGCTATCTCAACCGCTTTCCTAGCCGGTATTTCAATCGCTTGGAAGACACGGCCTTTTGCCGCAAAATTTATGGGTCGGTGCCTACTCCATTAGCCATTTGTGATACGGCTGTGTGTAAGTTGTAAGTTACTCTAACCTATCCTTTCTAGTGCAGCCGCTAGATTGGTTCTTAGCGCTCCCGTTATAAAGCGAACATCGAGCGAGTTTCAGCCTTTAAATAGTCTAGATAAATAAAGTGCACATAATGAAAACATCGGGGATTTCGTTACATTAAGTTTTATGAAAAAGTAGTTTATTTGTGTCATCACTTTTGTTGTATCTAGTTATAATTAATATACAGTTTCACTTGTCATAAGTATTCATAATTTGTATTATATTTTGTATAGCTATATTTGCGTTTTTTACTTTAAATAACACAATTCTTTAACTTTAAGTCTAATAGTAGGTAATAATTTAAATATTTATGCTTGTATGTATAATTAATTGTGGGATTTCAATTTGCACGCAAAGCAAAATTTTCGACTGCGCACAACACACTCAGATTGACATGTAATTACTAGCAAAATGCATACATTAGGATTAAGTGTCTTAATTTAGTTTTGATATAGTCGAGTATGTATATGGGTACGTATGTGTGTGTGCATAGGTTTTGCATATTTCTAATCTAATTGCAGATTAGTTGCAGAAGTGCTTGCAAATTCACATAATTGCATTAATTCAGTAAGCTACGCGCATTTCAAGTGCCATATAACGAGTTTAGTGGGATATACTATATGCATATCTTTCGGAATAAACGAACGAAATTGTTTTATATCCATCGTTTTTTGTTGTACAGGCAATTGACAATTAGTTTGAATGCGAAAATATTTATCTAGCTTCAACAAACTCTTGCTATTTACTAAGATTACTTTACATAAATAATTCTTTTACTGTTTTCACTTAATAAACTTGCTTATTTATAACAGCGAAAGAAATCTCAGTGCACTTTATGATTTCTTTGGCTTCGTTTTTAGTTTAACATATTAAAAACAGTTCGTTATGAAATTTAACAAACAAAAAATTAGAGATTAGATTCGTTTGCATTTTGAGCACGTTATAGCATCAGCTATACTAGCTAGCTAAAGAACTGCCAAGGTTCACTGCTGTGGCCACGGTAGAGGACCATGTACCATGGCTGTGTCAATCTTAATTTAAGGCAGTAATGTTCGGAAAAAAGAAAACTCACAGAAACTAACGCAATGTTCAAATATTTTTTACTGAACGTGAAATAAAAGTAAAGAAAGTAGTAAAATCAATGGTTATTGTTTATATATAAGAAATCGTGTGGATCACCGGACCTTTTTTGTGTCAGTGCTGAAAAATTAATTTTTTTCTTCAAAAACAGGCAGTGTTTTCAATATTATTTTTACTAGACTTATATTACATGAAGTGGAAGCGATAAGGTTAAACAAATATTTTAATTAGAAACAAAATTTCAATAATAGATTTCTTCCCACGAAACGTGTTGATAATACAATTTTTACACTTATTATAATTAATTTCAGATTCTCTAAAATTAAAATTCTCACTGCTTGCATGCCAATATTTATTTCAATTAACAATATATATTAATTTACAAAACTTAAGCTAACGGTTCAATTTATTATCATAAACCTAACACACAATATTGGGGTCAAAAACATATGTCGTTCTATATAAAGTAATTTAAAAAATATAGTTTTAGCATAGTTAGGTGCACTATATTCGTACAATATACATACATACAATACAACTACAACGAATTCGTTCGACGCTACAATATGCCAAGGAATGAATATCACTTTTGAATTGATTTAGTTTATCTCTCGTCTTAATTTTTATAAATTTTGCACACTTCGTTTAAATTTCCTTACAATATCATAATGTATAATGTACAATTATCGCATTAATTATATGATAGTATGGCGCAAACAACCTTAAAACACTTCGGTCGAGCCCCAGCAGTGCCAATATAGTTGCAGTTGTAATATAGTATTTTGAAACTATTTCCTTGCATTAGCAAATATACACGCACAGAATAAATATCAGTTTGGTTTATGTGTTTTGGGGCATTTGAAAGAAATCAGCGCAAATGCATCAAAAAAGCTGCCATAGGAGAATAATGCAGTAGCGCACCATCCATTTTACTTTCTCGCATTGGTAGTCGCACCCTTTTCGAAGCGCTGCGTCAGGGAGGCAATGTTTCCTGACTTTACAGTGGGCGCCGTTCGCGGTGTGCCAGTCCCGGCCAAGCGCGCACCTGTAGCGCCCACACTGGGCGCGGGCGTCACTTTCTTTTGACTATTGAATGAGGGTTTCGCGGAGAGCGGTTTTGGTTTTGTGATTGTGGCGGACGGCAGTGCTGTGCTATTACTGCTGTTTGTTGTCCGTGTTGTTGTTGTAGTTGAACTTGCGGCGACAGGTGTTTTAGCGAAGGATCGGTTTCTTGTCGTCGCAGCATTTCCGCTGGTGCTGTTTGCGCCGCTGAGACGATTGACGGCAGTTGTGTTGCTCTTGTTGGCTGCAGCCGCGGCACCAACTGCTGTGGGCGCTGCGCTTAAGCTAGTGGGCTTAAAGCTAGAAAATGCTGTGGTGGACGTGAGATCGGCACGCGTAGGCGCTACTCGCGCAACTGGTGCGTTCACTGGCGCCGGGCGCAAATATGTAGGCACAGTCTGCGCTGTAACTGTATTTGCGTTTGCCGACGGTTTCGCAGCTTCCGCTGATACATTGGCGTCATTATTTGTGCTAATGCTCTTTGTGGCATTTGATGTCGTTTTCACATCTGCAGCTGTATTTTTTACTTCTTCCGCTGATTGTGGCTTGTTCTTTACCAGCGTTGACGCGCTGTATATTGAGTCGCCATTGCGCTTCTCAATTTCATTCACAATCTCACCAAGCAGACCCATGTCAGTGCTTTCATTGATGAAATCGCTTCGCTTAACAGTTTGTGCAGCGGGCGGTATTTCGTCTATGACGGAGTATATGTTATCGGTTGAAGTGGGTGAGTCCGCTTCACTCGACTCGCCTACAGTGGTCAGCGACTGTTCAACAAACTCACAATCATCATATGTGTTCTCCACGTTAGACTTGGCAGTGGCAACAGGCAGTGCGTAGCCGGAAGAAGTTGTCGAATTAGTTTTCTTCAGCGGTGGAGGGCGTGGCGGTGGACTTTTTGGACGTGAAGCCGCCGCGGCAGCCGCTACGCTCTTTGGTCGTGCACTACCCGGTGCGTAACGCATCGAACCGAATGTTTGCACGTTGGTTTTCTTGGTTGGAGAACGCATAGACTGTGCGCGCTTTACTAAATTTTTGGTTTCCTCCTCCTTAGGAGTAGTCTCTGAGTCCGAATTGGAAGACTCGCCTTGCGGTGCCACTGGCATTGGTGCTGATATCTCGATATTCTTCAACTTCTCGCGATCGATGTAGGTCTTCTCCTTCAATGGTGCCTTCTCCTCTTTCTTCAGAAAAGATGCAATACGCCTTATGGTACCATCGCGTTTCACATTCAACTTAGGGTCTGCATGTAAAGGCACCGGCGGTGGTGGGACGGGACGCGGTAATGAACCTGATTGACTGCCAGGTGGCAAGGGTGCGGAGGGCGTTGGCGACACCTCACCGCTCGACTTCTTTATTGGCAGCGTCATTGTAGAGGTCTCCAATACCGGCATCGATATAATTGGGCGCGCATTCGAGCCGGGATTCGGTGGTGGTAATGCTGGTGCAGTTGCAACGCCAACTGGTGGCGGTGGCGCCCAACGTGTGGGTTGCACCGCATCCACCGATTTACCTTTGACCAATGGCGGTGGTGGTGCAGAGCGTTGTGGTACACCTCCATTCATTGCGGCAGTGTCCTGTACCGTGGGCTGTACATAAGCCACATTGGGTGCATTGAAGTTGTTGGTTGGTGAAGTGGTATCATTGAGGGGGCGTAGGGTAAAGCCTTTGAATTTGCCAAACATGCCATTGCCAACGGAAGTGTCATTCGAGTCGCTGGGGGACTTCAGTAGCGCAGAATTCATATCGTCCGTACTGCTGGGCGTAGACTTGGGTAGGCTGTGTCCGCCGTTGGCGCCGACACCACCGCCATGAGGACCGTGATCAGGACGTGCGGGTGCTTGCTTGGCGCTGGCCGCTTTGATGCTGTAACAAGACAACAGGCCGACAAAAACGATAAGTGATGGATAAATCAAGCGTATGTGATAATATTGGGGAATGAATGTAAAAATGTTTTTGTTTTGTATAATGGTGTATTTTTATTTGTAGATTATGTTAGTCTAAAATAGATTTACAATCGACAACTTTATTCGAGCTTTTGAAGATATTATTTATTTTTGGTTCTTAAATATAAAATATGAGACAGTTAATTGTTAGTCTAAAATAAAAAAACAAATGTTATATAATGTTATAGAAAATGCACATACCACAGCCAATTGTAAAAATCATCGCAAATAGAATGCTTGCATGTTAACCAACACCACAGCCAAGTTTTTTTCAACAAAAAATGCTAGAATCATGCAATCTAAGGAAGGATATTTAAAACACTCACAAAAAGGATGAGTTTGTAGAACAGAAAAGCTTGAAAAACAGCAATATAAATTGATGCAACATCACATTTTATTTAAAGCTACACATACATATAAATACACATAAGTACACTTAAGAGTTAGGCCGAATTTTACAGACGCTTTATTAGAGACATTAAATAAATATTAAAAAAAGTAATAGTAAATAAATTGCAAAAACAATAATAAATACCACATGAACTACATACATAAAAGTATTTTTATATTAATTATTTCGACTCAGAATTTTAATAATTTGAGAGCAATAGAAATGAGTTTTTAAAGTGAACTACATATAAAACATCTTTGAGCGGCTTACATATAACGGACTTTAAGTTTTTCTTCTCTTAATTAGCAACGAAGTTATTTATGATACCACCGACCAATTTTGACTTTTACACCATCCGATTGATGTTTAAAGAGACACGAAAGACAAATATACTTTAAGTATACAGCGAAATTCCTTATAACCGTCGCAGTGCTTTTGTCCGGCTATGAGAGTTGTACAAATATGTGTTTAAAATGTACTCTTAGAGTCAAAAGGTGCAACTTATTTATACTAAACAAATAAATACGATCCAATATCATTCAGAAGTGAATAAATGACAATTATTCCCAAAGCTTCCGTTAGGGCACCGTCAACCAGATGGCGCCAGTACAAGATAGTTTATTTTTCTGTGATCATTTTGTGTATTATTCTTAAAAAAAAAAAACTGTCGCAAAACTCCAAAAATTAATTAAAAAAAAAAGAAATATTAAAAAAAAAACGCGAACTACAAGGTGTACACATTTTTGTTAAAAATTTTAGTTAAATCTTGTCCGTTTTTCAGAGATAAATTGAACGAAATATTATGAAAATTGTGTCCGCGTCCGGTCATTGGAGCTTCTCACTATCGGTTATAAGAATTAATCTTGTATGAAACTATTAATATAAAAAGGCTGTGTTCATGAAATTTGTCAAGTAATGGGAGCTGTGCGGTATGAAGACTGTCCGTAATGGGGAATTTCACTGCATATGAAAAAACGGTCAAATATGATAAAATTTGCTCGCTACTCATTCATTTGGGTGCATTGCTTTGGTTGTATTAATTCACTCATATTAACTATGTGGTTGATGGAAGCGCTGAACATACTGTAATAATATTTATTTATTTATACTTGACATGCTAAAATAAATTAATAGATTTCTTGAAAAATAAAAGTTTAATCAATCATTAAAATTGGAACTTATTTTCGAAATTTTGCACATCAGACACCAAACTTTTAACACCTTAAATAATTTCGCAACTAATTAAAGTAATGAATTGAAAGCACATGCGAATATAACGGGATTTCAAGCGACAAGTGCTCGGCTACAAAGCAGCAACAGCAACCAATTTGTTTCTTCATTTTTTCTGCAATTTATATATCTCTATTTACACAAAAGTATAAATTAAAAATTTTCTGCTTTAATGCTGACTGCAACATATATTCTTTATCGGCACAGATAATGCAAATCTTTGCGTATTTATCAACAGCTTTTGCTTGCTTCAATTAGCGCCAGCGAATGGCAAAATGCTTAGATGTTTTTTTGGTTTTGGCTAACCAATTTTTGGACACACCTATCGCGATCACTGGCTATGAACTGTGCGCCGTCGCACAGCGCATGCGGATTTGTCGTTGCCTGCAAGCGTATGTCGGTAATTTCTAGCTTGCGCCGCATAGTGTTAGCCTGACTGTTGGCGAGTGTGTTGCCCTTCGAGCTATCGTCATCCGCCAGGTGATGTTTATTAGCTCTCGTCGGGAGTGTTTGGTGGTTTGTTGGTGTTTTCAGTTTGCGTTTTAGTGTGGTTGGTGGTGTGGTTGCAGAAGCATTACTTGCTGGTATGCTTGGTATTTTGGTTGGTGTTGCTGCCGACTTGGTTTTGTTTAGATTACTATTTTGTGTGAAATTCTTTTTGATCTCCGCCACCGATACGATCTTATTACTGGGCTTAATGCTATTGAAATCTTCATTAGTTTTACTCTTAAAATGCAAATTGTTATGGATGCGCGCTAGATTATTAGTGGATGCACTTTGACTGATTAGTTTCTGACTTTCTGTTATTGTTTTTGTAGTTGTGTTCGTGCTAGTGTACGGTTTCGCTTGTGTGCTTGTGTGGAATGTGTTTGAATGTTTGAGTTGGCCCCGTTTGGCACAGGACCCTAGTGTTGTGCCTTTTAGTTTTTTAGTTGCGCTCGCAGACGATGCACAAGATGCAGTTGAAGAAGAAGATAAGTTAGAAGAAGTATTGGAAGAGTGGGAGGAAGTTGTATTGCTAGTGGAAGTGGTAAATGAGCACACCGACTTGTGCGGCGTAGATACATACATATTTTCAGCCAGCTTGCCGCCAATGAAGAAGCGTCGGTTGCGTATATAGTAAGAGAGCCAGATAATGAACACCATAAACGGTATCACGCCGAAGAAGAAAATGTACATGAAGTTCTGGAAAGCTTGGTGACCTGTTGAAACGAAATAAACGGAAATGTATGAACATACATTATGAATAATGCATATTTTGCACTTACTCGTCGGTGACGATGCTGGTCCACTGTTGATTGAACCGCCAGGTCCTGGTAGGCGACATGTTGTGCCCGAGTAGCCTACATGGCAGTGGCAATTACCGAGACTGTTGCATACACCATTGCCATTACAATTATCTGGACACTGCCTGCCGAGCCCGGTGGCACGTACACGTTCTATCGTTAGGCACTTTTGGTTGACACACATTTTGTCTTCGCCACACTTGGCGCCATTAGGCGTAAGTCCGGGATCTGTGCTTTGTAGCCCCAAATCGACCAGCGCTGTGCGACACGGGACTATATTGCCCTCATGATTGATGAATGAATGCGACAGCACCGCTGCAGATTCCATGCCGAATTCGAGTCGTTCATTCAAATGTCGGCAATGCAACATGCCGCAACGTACGTGCTCATCTTCGCACCGAATAAATGTGTTGTTGATGCGGTCGAAGCCGCAATTGCCGCCACGCTTGCCTTCAACATTTTTGCTGTAGCAATGCTCTGAGCTCTCACCGGTCGGTCCCCACAGTATGCGGCACTGTTGCGAGTGCGAACGACAATTTCCTTGGAAGCAATAGGCTTGTCCGCTGTCGCACTCTTCGGTGTCACGTTTGAACACATCTGCCGGACAGTATTCCGACTCGCCGGTACAGTATTCGGGCAAATCACATTCGTTTTCGGCCACACGGCACGCCTGTCCAGCCGCTTTGGGACGACATGTACTCAAATCACAGCATTCACCAGTGGCACAAGACGCGTTTGTGTGCAGCATACAAGTGTACGGGTCGCAGCAGGTATTCTCACAGTAGTTGGGCAGCCCACAGTCACATTGCTCGCCGGGCTCCACGAAACCGTTTCCGCATTGCGGTGACTCGAACAACTTAGTGGGTTTGTTACGTAGGCAATAGTTCATGCCACGCGAGAAAGCAATGTTGAGCTGATCAATGCTACAACTGCTCCAATGCACCGGCACCACGGACGTGGACGAAGCGGACATTATGCATTTCTCATCCTGGCACTTACAGTCGGACGAATCGTGCTCCATGCCAAAGTTGTGACCCATTTCGTGCGCCATTGTGGTGGCCACAACGGCTACAATTTGACTGTGCTCGTTCGAAACGCCGCCCGAGTACTCGTGCGTGCAAATGGGACCCTTCAACGCTTTGCCTATATGCGGAATGAAATGTATTATATATTTGTCCATGTTTTATGTTATTACAGTTGCAATCGTTAATTACCAACAACGCCGCCGCTAAATTGCTCTTTGGTCAGCAACTGCGCATTATCATTAGGATGGTCCAGCACCAGTTTTGTTCGCCGATAGTTGAGGAAGTTGCGTAGCGTTAGATCTCCATCATTCGAAAAATCAATCTCATCGTACTCGTTCCAGATCACCACACCCACCAAAGCAACAAAGATATTCAGTGGTACGTATAACTTGGGGAAAGAAAAATAAAAATTATAGCTCAGTTCATTAAGTGTAAAGTTGGTTAATATAGACATAATTTGCGAACTAAAGGAATGCCCATGCAAATTTTCGGGTCTTTCCTTTTAATTTTTATATATGTGTGAATAAGATTGAATGATGTATCGTCTAGAATCTGTTACTGTGGGAACAATTTTGTTTACATACTTTTTTTTAATTACTTTAAATAGAAGGCTTAAGACTTTAACGCGCTTGCAAATTTGCTATTTTTAAGCTCATAGCATTTCCATTCATTTTAGTGTATCTCCTTTTTTTTACCAATACCTAGGTTTAGACTTGGATGTAGAAGATTTCTCTTCGGATATGAAGTACGGTCAGGATGATAGATTACTAAGATTCTGTCGCTTAGTAACCATTGCAATGTCCCTATGACTATCTTAAAGTTAGTCAACTTACCGCATTGATTATATTGGCTAAGTCCTTGCAGTGCTGATGTACTTTCTTCGAGCTCTCCCCAAACGATTTATACAATTTATTGTCAACCACAATAACAAGTTCTACATAGGACGAGTGTTTGTTGGCATTGTAAGGACCGCGTATCACATCGTTATTCTCATAGGACCTTTTATACTGCAATTATATTGAATAATATATCAAGAATATACAAAAGTATATAGCAACAATTTTTCATACGCTCAATAAATGATACTCACTCTTAAAATGCGGTTGATTTTCGACCCATCTAAGTGCATTGGTGCTTCTGAAAAGTCGTCGCTCTTTCGCCGCAAATTCTCAGCCTTCCAGAAAGGAGTGTGTGCGTGGTTGTCGGTGGCACTGTCGTAGCCACATGTTGCATTTTTGTTCAACAAATCGGCGTGTCTATAAATTAAGAAGCAAAACAATAATTGCCAATTTAAAAAAAAAAAAAAAAGTTAGTTGTACATATTACTACAAACCACAAATTAGCCATGAAATGTAGCTAACTGTTTTTGCAAATATTTTATGCCTTAACGGAAGTGCCAACGGAAGAAAGCGAGAAGATATTCTAGTGAGTAATTTATATGCAAACACGTCCCGCCTTCAACAGACAAAGAAACATGCATTAATATGGTAGACACGCTTGTTTTATTAAAGACCATTGGCCGTGGCACTGTGTGGGCGAGTAGCGACGTCGGTTAAAGTGGCTAAAACGGCAGCGGCGTGTTTGCCGACATGCGTTGACCAAATATTGACTCAAAAGGTGGCCATACGAAAAGCCAACTCGCTTTCTTGTTGGACAGGCCATCAAAATTAAAATAGGCAGACAAGCCGGTAGCTATCCGTTAATGGATAGTGGAGACATTCTGACGACTATAAAGCTCTACTGGCCAAAAACGAGAGTATAATTTAATAAAGACATTAGAAAAGTATTTTTCGGGATATCAGAATGGAATTAATTAGCCTATACATATGTATGTATACATATATGCATATATGTATGTATACCTAAAAAAATTTCAATTGGCTAAAATTTCTGTATTGCCCATTCCAAATTGGTCTAGCTCAGTAAGTTTCGGAACATAAAACTTAAAGTTGAGATTTTTGAAATTAGATTTTTAAAATCGGACGGCGATGGTACTCGGAGCTTTGCAGTCGAAATGTAATAAATTCTACGATTATTGCTCTTTTTCTATTCAAAAACTCTTTTTCTACCAAAAATTTAATATTTGTTCACATATTCGGTATATATAGGCATACCAACATTATAAAGAAACGTTTGGTAATAAATCAGCGTAAGTACTACTTTGATCAAATTGAAAGGCTAATTTTTAATTTATACTTCAAATTTTTTTTATGTTATTTGGTACTACTGTTAATAACATCTATGCTAAATATCACGTCAAAATATTTATTAGTATTTGAGATACGCGTCGTTTTGTGAGGCTCTAAAAGAAGTGCGGCAACGCACCATCTCATACTGCATTGGTAATTCGTGATCATTTCGCTACATTTTCAAAGATTACTTTGAATGAGATGAAATGGACAAAATTCACCTTTCGCTTCGCTTGGAATCTCCAATTGGCGCCACCTTGCGAAAATAAGAAATGACAGGAGCGCTCTTGTTAACTCGGTTATAACCGCGTAAGCGGTTTCTCCGCCAGTAAAGAAGAGATAGACCGATAGGTATGGTCTAAAATAAACCGAAAAGTCGATAATTTTTTCAATATATTAGTGACAAAAAAGTACCCGGAAATTTCAATTAAACTCCCCGAGTAAAAGTGTATTTTGCTGAGTTGGTAGGACTGTTATAATATTTACTATGCCAAACATGAGCGCTATCTGTCAAACCGGTTTGTTTACAGCAGCTCTTGAAGGCAATCTTCGTCCCGGACGACCTTCGACCTCTTCAACTGATGAATGTAGTAACAACGTGAAGGATATGGTGCTTTAAAATCGTAAGGCAAGTGTTAGAGAGATGGCAAGAGAGCTCGACATCTCTGGCGAGTCCGTTCGTATGATTTCGATGGATATTTTGAGTATGAAACGAGTTCTTCTTGCTGTCGAACATGCTTGATCGTCTTTCTGATCAAGCTTGATCGTGCGAATTCTGATCCCATCATGGAAAAATTCATGGAAAGCATTATAACTGCCGATGAGACGTGGATTTATAAGTTTGACATCAAAACTAGTCAACAATCATCGGAATTGAAAGAAAAACGAGCCGAAACCAAAAACACAATGACAAAGCCGCTCAAAATTCAAAGTGATACTCATTGTGTATTTTGATATTCGTGGTTTGGTTCATCATGAACTTGTTCCTGAGAGGCATACGGTCAATAAAGTCGTATTGAGGCGTTTACGTGAGAACATCCGTCGAAAACGGCCGGAATTGTAAAACAACCATACACGAAGATAATGCAAGATCGCATCAAGCTACGATTGTGACCACATTTAAAACGTAATGAATGCCATCGATCGACCACCGTATTCACCACATTTGGCTATTTTTTCTGGCTCCTCAACTGAAATTGCAGCTCCGTGGAAACCGCTTTGAGTCGATCGAAGAGATAAAATAAAATTCGCTGAAGAAGCTGAAGGCCACCCCAAAAAGTTCTTATGAAAAATCATTTTCATAAGTGTATTAAATCTGGTGGGGATTACTTTGAAGGCGATAAAATACATATCGATGAATAATTCAGTATTGTGCTTAAAAATTTACACCATTCTAAGTTTTGGAAATATATTTAACGTAGTATAGATCGATAGACATGGTCTAAAATAAACCGAAGAATCTGAGATAATTTTATTTGATATTTTAGTGTTGTGTTAGGTTTAATTTATAGGTACATAAATATAATCACTGAATTTTAAGATGTTTTTGAGCTCTACAAGAATATTTTTTTAAACTTATCTATAACTATATGTAGTGTCGGAGGTATATCAGAATATGTTTGCTACCGAATTGAAAGGTATGAAGGATTCAGCGAGTCCAGGATGTGACATCTGGCAATATGTTTCACTATATTAATACGGAGATGTACCACCGAATCAAAAAGAAACTACTACTGTTATCGTACCCCGGTCTTCTGCGCCCTATGATCAATTTGCGCCTAGAAGGTAATTACTAATAAATTTTCAAATAAAAGAAAAAGCTCGGTCGAGAACTTAGCCGAGCTGCGAATGTCACATTATTATTATAAACTTGTTTTGTCAATTGAATATTATAATGATGTAATTAGTCTAAAAAGGAAACCTCATTAACATGCTAACATTTGCTTGTACACATATACCTATATATATATAGTATACTATGTATTCATGATTCTTATTTGGAATATTTTATTTGTCAGCGGATATTGAGTTCAACACATTACTTAGCACACATCGAATCACAATCGTCGAAAATATAATTGGCATTTCAGACATCAGTTCATATTTTTGCGAATATAAACTAAATTATGTTTTGTAAGGCAAAAGCTTATAATGGCGCACAGTTCCTTAGCTATTAAAGATTGAAATGTTGATTAACGCTTGCCAAGTAAATTTAACTGTGAATACAATTGATTATAACCGCAATTATTCGAACAGAATAAAGTAATAAAAAATTTATAAAATTTATCCAGGTGAAGCAACTAAGTAATTACTTGAACACACGTATATGCCTTATGAGAACTGAAGATACTAAAGGTATCTTTTGGTCGTCCAAAAGAGAGAGAAATTAAGTTGATCGGCATGTTAGCTGATACTAGTATAAAGATATTAGTGAACGGCGTTGATATTCATGAAAAATGTAGTAAAGAAAGTTCTATGAGGAGGAGGAGGAGGGTCCCTTTTCTATATTAGGCATTTATGTCAGCACTTCTACACTCCAATCGTCGAAACACTTCTCAACTCAATTTTTGGAATAGCCTTTAGCTCTATCAGCGATTTCCGACTATTTTGAAAAACGAGGGCCTTTTAATGTTCTCTTTCTTTTTGAAAATTGGAAAAATATTTGGCTTATATGGAGGCTAGGACATGGTTACAGTAAGTAATTGTTTTAGCCAAATATTCACAAACAAACGAAAATCGCTGAACTCATAAAAACACGCCTAATTAACCTTAGCGGCTACTACAGCCAACGTGGGCAATGAATACAACTGGAAATTGTGTCGTACTTCAGGGCATGAATATCAATGTAACCTAAACATTTGACAAGTAGAATCCTCAAGACTGCGAAGTTTTAAATTCAAAATTCCCGTTATTTTTATAATATACCTCGTATATTGAATAATAGAAACGAACTATCTAAGTATTACTTTTCGAGATTGAACTTTAAACCGAGTATACAACGGGTTAAGAATTTCATGGAGAAATTCAACATCTAAGGCAGTAACAAAACCTACTACAACATTTTTTAAAAAATGAGTTCGTACGATTCTGCCCTTTTGTCATGCATGGAAATGGCAATTCATAGGTAGTCAAACTACAAGCCGCCATAATCACCGTAATATTAGTTTTGTAACTTACCGAAATAAAAAATGATCATCCTGCAACCGCCCATCACTACCGGAGTGTATGAAATATGTGTCGACACCATCGTAAACTAGACCATTGACACCACCGCCATTACAAGTAGATATGGCAACATTGGAAAGCGGTTTGCCGCGTATAGTGCCCTTTGAATTAAAAAAAAAATACATTAATGAATTTAATCAAAATCGATATTTAGCAGAAAAAATTAAAAATAAAAGAATCTAAAATTTTTTACAACAACAACATTTTTATTGTAAGCACAATTCACCTGGTAATGACATAGTTCCAATTCAGTCTTTGTGAAATTTTTTACTACACGCCCCGTTGGCGAATTCGAATGCTGATAGCGGAGGAAATGCTCGGCTGGCAGTAACTCATCGTTGCGATGCAAGTCAATGTGTACGCGTTGACCTTCATGCTGGTACGTGAGTGTTATGTGCGGAACATGTTGACCTTCCTGGAAAGGAAAAATATGGTTAAGTTGAATTGAAAATAATTACATATTGTTTTTCAGAAATAAGTAAGTCTTAATATAAATTTCATATTTATTCTCTTTATTTCTGCGAAATTTCCTAATCATCTAATAAGGAATAAATCATTTGAAACTCACAAAAAATATCATTAAATTGTCTTTTCATATTTGCATTCCATAGAATAACGGTTGAGGAGTTGTACGCTGGGTGGCGCACCCACGAAATTACTTTGCCAATAAGCCTAATTTACCAATACATTCATTTACACAGGAGTGCTATAAAATAGAGGGGACCACCGACAACCATCAGCCACTTGGATAGCCAATGACTGCCTTCAACCTATTAAATGCTTAATAATTTGTCCGGCGGCCGATCATATTACCGCGGACAAATTTAATTTCAACATGCAAATTGTGGGCGTTTTGCAATTTCCCTTAATGAAATGCGCAGAAACGCACATCCTTTAACAGAACGGCACAAAGCACACAGGCCAACCTTGAAGAGTGTGCAGTTGGTCGTGCAGCATTTTGTCATCGCTCACATCGCCATACAAGAAACAGGTGACAGCTTGCCTCCGAGTGTTGAAAGTGATAGATGGGACTCTTGTGTTCGGAAATTGAACATCGTGCATCGTGTAGATTTTAAGCAATGTGAGCGGCAGCTTTTCAACGAGGTATAGACGCTAAAGTACAGCTAGAAAGAGTTAACACATGTGCTTTGAAGAATAAATTTTACATTTTTGAGTGCAAATTTGCAATTACAAAAAATTGAGAGATTTTTATTACCGGAATGTTCAAAATTTTCCTTATTTGAAGTGGTAAAAAATATATAACGGGTGATCCAAGTGGCTGTACTTTTTTCAATTGCCTGTTTTTGACAGATCACGCATGAGTCGTGTCAAGCTGTCATGTTATTTTTGTCATCATGGAAAAACCTGAACAGCGTTTACAAATCGTTCGACAAAAATTCACGTTTTGTAAAGAATGCGGTTCGCGCGCTTCGCTCAACTTATGGTCAACATAATCGGCCTACTGGGCGTACTATTCACAACACCATTAATTATATTAATTATAATAAATTTGAAGTTTCCTTGCTTTTTCTTTAAAAAAGTAGGGAACCTCAAATTGGATCACCCTTTAATAACAGTATTTTGAACCGGAATTTCTTTTTTCACTAGAGGCCATCCAAGATTGCCATGGGTTAAAGGTTTGTGAAGCAATGTTAAAACTCCGACCATGTGTATAGCTGATTAATGAAACGATGTGTCGTTCGAAATCGTACGAAATAAAGAATGATTTAGTTCACCACCAGCGTTGAGGCTGAGAAAATTTTGACTAGCTCACTTCACGACACAACTTATTACTGCTTATAACGAAAGAAAACGATTAAGAAGGTTCTTTCGTTTCAGCGAATACTTATACCCTGAACAGGGTATATTTATTTTGTCACGAAGTTTGTAACACCCAGAAGAAAGCGTCGGAGACCCTATAAAGTAAATATATAAATGATCAGTATGTTATGCTGTTGAGCTGATTCGATTTAGCCATGTCCGTCTGTCTGTCTGTCCGTCTGTCCGTCTGTCTGTATATATACGAACTAGTCCCTCAGTTTTTAAGATATCGTTTTGAAATTTTGCAAACACCATTTTCTCYTCAAGAAGCTACTCAYTTGTCGGAACTGCCGATATCGGACCACTAHAACATATAGCTGCCATATAAACTGAACGGTCGGAATCAAGTTCTTGTATGGAAAACTTACACATTTGACAAGACATATTCACGAAATTTGGTACAGATAATTTTCTAAGGCAACAATGTAATCTCCGAAAAAATTATTCAGATCGGCTCACTATAGCATATAGCTGTCATATAAACTGAACGATCGGAATCAAGTTCTTGTATGGAAAACATTCGCGTTTAACAAGATATATTCACGAAATTTGGTATAGATAATTTTCTAAGGCAACAATGTAATCTCCGAAGAAATTGTTCCAATCGGTTAACTATAGCATATAGCTTCCATACAAACTGAACATATAGTTACTAACATAAATGCACCTGTGAAGGGTATTTAGCTTCGGTGCCACCGAAGTTAACGTTTTTTCTTGTTTTAATATGTTCGCTTGCATTAGAAGTTTCGGGTTTCATCACCTGGTTGGTATTATAGCTATATTTATCGCAAAGGACCAATCCCAAATTTTAATGTAGTTGTGATCCAATTATCTTTTCATATTTGTAACATTTTACTCACCTCCGCATCCAATGTGCTTCGCAAGGCGCGTTTATGTCGCCCATGCAGAATTTCAGGGCGTATCACGGAATGGCTTGTGAACTCATTAAGGGCAGGAAAAAAATCACCAGTCTGTGGATATGATGAATGTGCTGGAAAAGATAATAAAAAAAAAACAAAAATTAGAAGAATATGGAAAACAGAGAATTAGGTAATCTAGTGAAAGAAAAAGTGTGATTCCCTATAGAGTGAGAAAAAAGTACAAAATAGAACACTGTGCAACAACACAAAAAATTACGAAATGATTGCCCAAAAGTGTTAATGACACCACGGCAGACGCAAAGACGAATTAACGAATTAACGAATATTTAGAAATGTAATGTCATTTTAAATGCTAAGAACAACAACAACGACACAAACTGAAAAAAGATTTACACATGCAGCTAAGGTGGAAGCTTACGTGAGCCAGTCTATCCACCAACAACATCATCCATTTACAAGGCAGCGAACCACAACAAATGTTAACCATAAATTTGTATATTGATGTGTGCGGTGGTGTGCGTGCCACGCATACAATTGCTTATGTGGGCTTGCGAAGATGCACAAGCTGGTGTGCAACGCGAAGCATTGACATTGACAAACTTTAGTAGTCCAGATTTATGTAATAGCCAACAAGCTGTGACACCGTGTCGAGCGCGCGAAAGAGGATTGGGCGAGTAAGGGAGTGTACATGTGTGGATGTATGTGAGCACTGGGAACTAGGTAAGAGGCGCGCTGCATCAATCCACCATAATTGAACATGAGAAACTGTGGTTAGTCTCTAATTACGTGGCATTAGGTGACAGCACAAGGTGCGTGGCGGCTACGAAACGCCACAGAGCCCAAAGACGGGTGACTTTGTGTGAAACGACAGTGAGCAGGGCCCAACGACATGACCAACTCTGCCGTAACCCTTGGCGGACAAGCATGTAATTATAAGCTCTGAGCATGAGCACCGATGAGCAGGCAGCGATAAGATATGCTAACAAGCCGTCTACTATTTCATACAGTAAAGTGGTTGCTGTTACTACTAGGTGGCTTGGTTGCCATTGTATGCACATGCAGACATGCATATGCATATGTGAACGTTTGTAAATGATTTGCGGTAATTACGAGCAATGACTGAATTAAACAGTAATCTACTGATGGTAATCATTGCTCGATTATGAGGCGAGACGGGTGTTCTTGGGTGTTGGAAGAGCTGTCATCACATCACAAATGCGGCGATAAAACTGCTCAGTAACTGTAATAATAAGTCAGTGTCAATATATATATGTACGTGTGTCAACGCAAAGCCGTAAACAACAAAAATACAAGAGCAGATACGATGAGAGAGATTTTAACAAATTGAGCTGGAAAAGTTTTGATTGCGTTGACAGCCAAAGTGGCTGAAATTTACACACACACAAGCGATGTTGTCTCAAGAAATGTATTTAATATTTGATGAGTTTTGCAGAGACAAGGTCAGGGCATAAACTTGAAAACTAAATTGATCTAAGTGCGGCGACATGTTTTGAAGGTCAAAATTTTTGCAACCAAAATATAAATATTTATTTATTCAAAAACAGTACAATAAATTAAGTGGATGAAAATCTGTGTTTATGTAAACATAAACTGGCGAAGTCGACATTGCGAGTTTTCGAGAGAAAAGTTCTGCGAAAGATTTATGGTCCTTTGCGCGTTGGCCACGGCAAATATCGCATTCGATAGAATGCTGTACGAGATATATGACGAAATTGACATAATTCAGCGAATGAAAAGACAGCGGCTACGCTGGCTGGGTCTTGTTGTTCGAATGGACGAAAACAGACGAAGCAGAGGAAGACCTCCACTCCGTTGGAAAGACCAGGTGGAGAAGGACCTGGCTACGCTTGGAATATCCAATTGGCGCCACGTAACGAAAAGAACGACGGGCGCGCTGTTGTTAACTCGGCTATAATCGCCTAAGCGGTGTCTACGATAATTAAGACAAAAAGAAACTGGCAAACAAAAAAAAAATTGTCAAATAAAATTTTTTTTACAAAAGAATTTTACATATTTTGATCGTTCAGTGTTATGGTAGCTACTAGTATATGCTACAATGATCCGATGTTGGTTGACATCGGCCCCGACAGTAAGCAGTGTTTTGGAGAGAAAAGAACGGGTTCAATATTGTAGATCAGCAGGCATACGGACAACCATTCAGACATGCCTAATTCGATTATTTATATATGTACATATATTGTATATGTATGTACATATATTTAAAAGGATTTCGAACGTTTTTCCTGGGTGTTACAAATGTCAAGGCAAACTTAATTATACGCTTTCAGGGTTGAACGTAAGGAAATAAAATATAATATGAAATAAGCACAAAAAATAATAAATTAATAAATACAAAGAAAAATTTAAAAGAAATTTACTAAAACTAAAAATTAATGCAAGTAAATTTATAGTTTCTTAGTAAAGACATAACTTAAGCCACACCATTTTAACCGTCTAACGCTAGGCTATCGAATAAGCAATACCAGATGCTCAAGCAGGTTTTGTTGCTTAAACCTGGCGCTTACAAGCCCACTAATCCAATTTTGTAACCCTATAAACTAAATAAAATCAATCAAAATCGCTTTAATGAGGCATCCGGATACTTTCTTTTGCATATGAATTTATGATATGAGAAGGGCGGCCAAATATTATACATGGTTGAAGAGTAAACCATGACAATTATTTCGAGCCCGTCGTTTCTTGTGAAATACTTCTTATTCCTAATTTCAACAATTTTGTCAACTTGCTTCAATAAGAAGTCACACTGTGCAGCGAACTTTTCGTCTACGCATAAATAATCCTCTTTGGACGCACTTTGTAACGATTTACCTAGACCATGCATGACACACACTAAAGTGCAAGATTTAAAAATAAATCTGAAATTCTTTATAAACTTTTCAAGGGAATTGTGTATGAGTGGGAGGGATTTTCCACACGCCTGCCTGCTTTGACAAACGACCGCGACGGACACAAAAAATATTGAAAAAAAAACTAAAGAAAATTAAGAAGACAAGCGTAAGCTGATCATAGCTTATAGGCACATTTTTGCCCCACTTTCCATTATTTTCGTCGAGCACCGACGGCGGCGTGTCTACAACAATGATGTAAAACTAATTAACTCTATAAAATATAAAGAGAGAGAGAGAGAGTCCTCACAGAACATAAATGCCGGCATTTAAAATTTGCCGGCATTTCAAATTTATCTATTTTTCCTAAATCTGCCGTGGAATATGGAAAATATTTTTGGACACATATTTAGTGCCGGTTCAAAGATGTCGCGAGGGCTCATAATGGGCTGCTGGCGCTGTCATTGAATGTGCGTTTGAGTGTGCCGTATGACGTTGAATTTGCACTCGAAATAGTCTAAGGAGGGAACATCATTTTAAATTACTTACGCACTCACTCATTTGTTATGAAAATGTTAATGTGGAGAGGTGTTTATGCACTTAATTTAAGTAAATATGAATAACATGTTTGCAATCAAACTAAAAAAAACATCGGCTAAGGGAATCTTTCTGGGCTTCTATAATGTACATTTACTTTTCCTCATTTTATTACTTCTTAATTAATTAACAGTCCGATTTTGCTGGATGCTTGATTATTAACATAATGAATGTAAGTTTGTCGCTTTTATTTATAAACGTCTGATGTTATCCAACAATTGAGGGGTCCTATATGTTTCAATCCGTCTTCGAACGGGTTATGTGGGAGGTTTTGTGTTATCGACTTATCGGATTGTAGCCTGAAAACTGAGTGATGAGTTATGAGTATAGAGTACATTTCTTATCCCTATGTTTGATGTTGTTCTTTAAAGCTTATCACTCTTAATGACATTAGTCTCTCAAAAACCTATCTTATGACTTTCGTACTATCTTCATAATTTTCCCTTTTTTGATTTCGTATATACATGGTCAATAACAGTAATATTTATTATTTGTCTAAAATAAATATTCCATTTGAATCGCAAAAAGTACTGACAGAAGCCTTGCCTGTCGAATATTGTTTTTTCGAACGCTTTGGATGAAATCAGCGGACTGCTGATTTGACTATTTTGAGATGTTATTAGGATGTTATACTCACTCTATTTCATTTTACGATGACCAAGCCAATTTTAATGAATTTTCATAGTGATAAAGTTCAGTAAACTTGCTGCACATAAAAATTGATACATATGGTGATACCTAAGTAGAAATCGCTTAGATTGACTTAATCTAAGATATGTAATTTAAATCGGAATAAAAACCCATTGGTGCCCTTTATTTGACTTTACGACATTTTAAGTTATCCTGAACCAATATTTAAGGTGAAATGCAGAATCGAATCTCGAAAAATGCAAATCAGAAATACCCAAATAATCCCGTTATCCTAGTTAGCATAAACTTTCTTAAAACCTCGGCATAAAATGAAACAAGTTCGAGTCTGCCATTAGTCTCAAATTGACGATGAATAATAGAGTTTTTGATATTTTTGTAAGGAAGGTACTGTTCCTTTTAGTTTGAGCATGTATTATTATGAGACTGATTGGGATAGCCGAAAACCAACCGTAAGAGAATAACCACAAAAATCGTACACGAGGGTAATTTATTTTATATGGTAGCATCAAACCGTTAACTTCAGTTTCGCCGTAGCTATAATAAACCTCATAGATACAAAGTTTCTTTATAAAAATTTGATTTTGATCGGAAGTTTATATGGCAGATATATGCTACAGTAATCCGATCTGAACAATATCATTGGAGATTGAACTGCTGCCTTGAATAATAATTTGATGAAGATATCTCTAAACAGCATCACAAGAAATCACAAGTGTTGAGACGAAAAATGTTAATGGGCGCTGCCATCAACACCTCGAGCAATGGGAAAGTAATTTCAAAATGCATATGGCATATTGAGAACACATATACATACACATAATACATACTATATGTAAACAAACCCATGTAAATAGTTCACAGCGTGCTGACAACACAGTTCCATTAAAGAGCTTGTTCCCACATAACGTAACGGTGTACTTTGTGAAGCCAAGATAAGCAACGCAAGGACATTTGCTACATAACGGGTATATTTTTTTCAATAGCATTTTTTGACA